GCACGCACGCACGCACGCACGCACGCACGCACGCACGCACGCACGCACGCACGCACGCACGCACGCACGCACGCACGCACGCACGCACGCACGCACGCACGCACGCACGCACAGTTTCTTTCTACATTTTATTTTTTTACTTTTTTGCTTTTTCATAGAAATAAAAATTTTGATAATTTATTCATGAATTTTGTGAGTATTTAATGCGTTGGTCTTTTTATGCATGATTATTAAGAAGTTTAGAAATGTTGAGTGAAATGTTGATCTTTTCTAGAATTTATATAGCTCTTGACTTGAATAAAAAATGTATGATGATTGGTTTTAGGTAGATGCAAAACCGAACACGAATAATGTGTTAATCAATCAACAGATGTTGACGTGCCCAGAAACAAGTCTCATAGGCAGTAATGTTTCAAAAATCACTTCAGTGCCATTTTCCTTCGTGCTGACAGAATTCCATGCATTATTATTATATCCGGATCACGTAAAAGGCATATCGCTTCTAAATCAAGAATTGATATTCGAAGATGTTTATAATGACGTATGTATATTTCTCAGTATGTATAATTCTTAGCCATTATTATGATTATTAGTTGCTATTATAACACATCAAAAATAAGAGAAATGAATGATAATTTACGCAACAATTATGATTAATATAAATACAATGAATTTAATAGAGTTATAAAGTTAAATCTTTTTGTTAAGATATTAATTAAATATGTGAGAGTGATTTATATATAATGTTTAGGCAGTTGGTAAATTAATTGGCATCACCAAGGATCCGGCAACGAGATCGATTTGGGCTTATAGCGAGCGAGCCGTTTTTAAATACAAAGTAACAAAGGAAGACAGAAATGTTTGGCAGGTAAAGAAAATAACACTATAACAACTTTAAAATAACAATAACTACTACTTTTTGTTTAGATATATATCGACAAAAATGAGTTTGATTTGGCTAAACGGTATTGCGGAAATAACCCGGCGCACATCGACCAAGTACTTATAAAACAAGCAGAAATGCTCTTTAAGAATAAAGAGTAAGCTTATACATACTTTCATGCATATAAAATATTGTTTTTTTCAAATTCCATTCATTTTTATTTGGCTTTCTTTTTTATTATGATATTTTGAATATAATTCTTGCAGATATGAAAAGAGCGCACTAATTTACGCTGATACTCATTCGTCTTTTGAGGAAATCTCATTGAAGTTTTTGCAGGAATGGCAAATCGAAGCTCTGAAAACATTCCTGCGCAAGGTAAATTCAATAATTATCTATATAATGGCGGTTTTGTGTTTCACGGCAAACGATTATGGTACAAGAAACTTAACGAACATTCACGCGAGTATTACAATAATTATAAAAAAAGTAATGCTAGAAACATTTATTATTTTATTTGTATATATACTGGGATTTAATTATTTTATATTAGTATAAGTTATAAATTTTTGAACATCTGAAATTTTTGTTAAGGCTTCTGAATACTCAGCTAAGAACTCCGCGTTGACAGTAGCGACATACCGTCGCGATAAAAATTAGAAGCTCAGAATCATTTTTCTTCATCTTATCCTTATCCTTGTTTATCTTTATTAAGCGATGTGCGGACAATAAATTTTTATGTGTTTAATCACGCAGGTATGATTTGTTTCATTTATTACATCCATAAAAATGGACGGCAACTAAAGTTACCTTTGAAGTTACTTTTGACGTTACTTTATACGTAAAAGCATATTTTTCACTTCTTTCAACAGTTGTTGAATCGTATGTCTGAACAGGCTTCATGTGCTTTTTATGGCTATTTATTGACTCAGGAAGGGAAAAGATAGCAGCCGTCCATTTACACAAGTGTCTTAAAACTCTCTCAAGTATTATTTTAATCAAATATCTCTATTTGCAAATGAATTGCAATAAACTTTCTCGTCTATGACGTTACAATTCCAATATAACTGCGGTGACTATTCAGGAGCCTTAATTCTAAAATTGCAATAATTTATTTAGTTTAAGTGAATCTTATTCTTTATCTTAAGAAACTTGATGGTTTGAAAATACAAGATAAGACTCAGATAACAATGATAATCATTTGGGTGACGGAATTATTTATGAATCAAATGGGAGCTATACGCAGTAGCAACACATCTTACCTTCATGATTCACAATACATGGAATTGCAGAAGCAGTTTGATAGCTTTCTCACCATTCCCAAAGTCGAGGTATTTAAAGAAAATTAAGATGAATCAATAGATAAAAAAAGAAGCAAAGAAAAAGCTAAAATACAATGATCTTAGTGTCAAATCGGTTATAATAAATAAAAAATTAAACAATTAATATAAATACAACAAATGTTTCGATCTTATTGTTTTATTTATATTGATTTTTATTATAATCGATTTTTTATTATAATCGATTTGATACTAAGATCGTTGTATTTTGATTTTTATACTCTTTTTTTCTATTGTTTTTTAACGTTAAAGTCTATTGGTAATTTTTATTTTTTAAAATGAATCAAATAAAAAGGATACAGAGTATTTCTTACTTATAATTAGTGAATATGAATTTAGAGAATTCAAGAAAGATTCATATAAATATAGATCGAACGATTTAAAAAATTTTCTCGCTGATTCACTGCAGTCATCTTGAACTATGATATCAGAAGCGAGAAAACACATGATGAAAATTCTTGCAAAAGAAAATAGAAATGTTTTTTGATAACATAATGTTTTTACTTGATAGACTAAAATCTATCTAAAATATATCAAAATCTCTTCTTTCATTTTGTTAATTGGTAAATAATCATATATTTAAAATTGAATTATGATTCTTCTTGATTAGGTACAATTCATTTTTTAGATATATAGTTATTTATTGATGATTGAAACAAAATTTTAGTCTGTTTTATTAAGTACAAACATAGTTTTATTAAAAAACATTTCTATTTCTTTTTTTTTACTTCTATTTGTATTTTGTAAGAATTTTTCATCATGTGTTTTTTCACTTCTGACATCATAATTCAAAATGACTGCAGTAAACCAACAGGAGTCTTAATTGTATTCAAAAGTTAAAACGATTTTTGTAATATTTTTTTATTTTAAGCTCTAGATTTACTCTCTGATATGTAATTAAGAATTATTCTATATTTATAATAAATTTATAATAAATTGTATATTTACATTCTTTTTTTTAATTATTGAATGAAATTAATTTGTCAAATTAATTAAACTAACTAGAGTTTTGCATATAGGAATGTATTAAGAGAAATTGTACCACGATATATGATTTGATGGCCAGTCACGGTGACAAAGACAATCTGATATGTCTTACAATAATGCATTGTAACTACGAAGAAGTGATTCGCCAGCATTTATACAAGAATGATTACTTGGAAGCGCTTGGAGTATTGAAGAGTCAGAACAATAAAGACCTCTTCTACCAATTCGCTGGGATACTGCTGCAGGAGTTGCCGCGGCCTACAGTGACTGTCTTGATTTCTCAAGGAACATTATTGAAACCGGCGAAGCTCTTACCAGCTTTGGTCTCGTGTAATAGTGACGAAAAGCACGTAAGGAAGATGAACAAGCAGCAAATTATTACTTTCATTTCACATTAATAATTATGATATCAAGATAATAAAACTAAATAAATCATATGATATAACAATAATTACTATAAAACAATTAAGTCGGTTCGCTCTCATGGTTCGTGAAATAGCGTCAGTCGGGTTGCCAGGAAGAGAGAGAGTTTCGGTAGGGAAATAAAATAGAGAAGATTTTGTGTGAACTATGTACAAGTATATTCTTAAATTAGGAAATTATTTACAACTACTGACTAGACTTTCACAATCTTACAAGGAGATGATCCCGATTGTAAAATTCCAAATGAGATGAGCCTATTCGAAGTAGGGAGTTGGGTATAGTAACATGATAAAATGATTTATGTGACTGGGCTTTGGTTTCCGAGAAAATCGCAAGTAAAGTTGGACGCCCGATCAGCTGTGGAATAAACTACTGGAACCGTGCAGTAAGCAGGAAAGTGGCGTAGCTGAGCAGTCTGAGGTACTTTTTTTCGTCCGAATTCGAATCTCCGCAATGTTAAATTTTTTTTAAAGTAAACGTTATATTTTTAATACAATTAATTTTTTTTATTTATTTTTTTAAGCTAAAATATTAATCGTTGCACAATTTTCATTATAAATAATAATAATAATAACAAGAATTTAACAAATTTTAATTTTTAATTTTTAATTTTTAAATTTTAATTTTAGTTTTTGTTTGGTACGCGTCAAAGCTAGCATCCGAATGCGAAATTTTCTATAATGTAAATCAGTTATCCTTCAGATACTTACAGCATGAAATGTATTTGTAAAAATAATAATTCATTTATAAAATGTTCATGATGCACGTTCTACTTGTGTTTTAAATGATTCTACATTAATTTTTATCCACAAAATTGTACGGCAATATCAACTTTTTTACAAAAAAATAATTGTACGGCAATGTCACACATATACAAAGTTTTATAATAAATAATTCAAATTTTTTAAACTCTTGTTATTTATTATTATTCATAACGAAAATTGTGCAACGATTAATATTTTAGCTTAAAAAAAAATAAATTAAAAAAATTAATTGTATTAAAAAATATAACGTTTACTTAAAAAAAAATTTAATACTGCAGGGATTCGAACTCGCGTTGGATGGACGAAAAAAAGTACTGCGCACTTAAGGCTGCTCAACTACTGCCACTTTTCTGCTTACTGGTACGCAGTTCCAGTTACTTATTCCACAGCTGATCGGGTACCCAACTTGCAATTTTCTCAGAAACCAAAGTCCATTCACATAAACCATTTTACCGTGTTATTATACCCAACTCCCTTCTTCGAATAGACTATGGCTCATCCCCATTTGGAATTTTACATTTTCGGAATCATCTCCTTGTTAGTTTGATCGCTTTATAATATGTACACGGTTATGTGTGATTTTGCTTTTAGTCTCAGAATCTCGGTTGTCGTTCGCCGAAAATACTCGCGAATTCCGGGCATCGTATAATAGCTTGACTCGCTTTTCCGCGCGTCAAGCTATTATACGATGCCCGGAAGAATTCGGCGCGTCGCGATTGTTGGCGCGCGGCGCGGGGGAATTTTGTCGCACACGGTGTTTGTCAATCGGCTTACTATCACGTTGCGTCGAAATCTTTTCGAGGCGGATTTTTCCGGAATCGGGATTTAGATTTTACTGCGACTTGGAGATAGGGAGCTTCCTGCTCTGTCATCAACAGCGACGGATTTTGCACGCAAGGGTCTGCTTCGGGGGCCAAGCTAAGAAGCACCTTAACTTGAGAGAAAGCTTGCGTGCCTCGGAGATGGAAGCAATCTGCCAGAAACTTCTGGCTTTCTAGGTAGTGCCCTAGGATCGCTTACTGGTATCTGGACAGGTATTCACCGAGATCAGCACTGGACTGATTGCTGTCTCTCGCCGGGAACAGACGAAAATCACCCGTCGGAATCAGTTAATATACGCGAATCGGCCGTAAATCGAGAAGAATCAGATAATAGATCGGCTGAACTCGGATTTTGGGATTGACTTTGCTGAGGATGATTCTGCCGAAAGATCTTCGAATATCGTCGAATGGGTTCGGCGATTCCGTGAATACGTTTGGTGACGCGGTCGGTAGCGAGATCAGTGGCGGTGGCCCAACGTGCGGATTGTTATGGTAGACACGCGCCGTTCACGTGAATTCTTCTCGTCGATTATCCTTTGCGAATCTGTCGATGGAATCGCGGAGAATCTAATTACGGGAGGAGGGAAGGTGATTCAGGCGTATCGTTACAATTAAATAAAAAATAATAATTCATTATTAAAACTCACATTAAAGAATAATATTAATACTGAGACATTTTATACTATTTCAAACTTTGTTGATAATTTCTCATTTTTTTACAGGCGAAAGAAATTATTAAATACTTGGAATTTTGCGTATACAAGCAGGGTTCACAGGAGCAAGCAATCCATAATTTTCTTCTATCTTTGTATGCATGTTACAAGCAAGATGAAGTGATGCGATATATAAGCTCTCAAGGTAAACTTCTTTTTTACAGAGCGTTTAAATTAATTGGCTCCATTAATTAGTTTATTTGACTTATTATAACTTAATTATTCGATATACTATGATTTATTATTTTCAGGTCAAGATATCAGCATGGTACATTATGATGTACATTACGCGTTGCGATTGTGTCAAGAAGAAGGCTTGACAGAAGCTTGCGTACAATTATCGGCTCTGCTTGGTCTATGGACCACTGCTGTAGATCTCGCGCTTACAATTAACGTAGATCTCGCTAAACAGATCGCCGCCATGCCATCTGATCATGATGATGAACTAAGGAAGAAATTATGGTTAAAGATAGGTAGATAATTTTGAGTCATTTTAAAATTAAGAATCAAATTTTAATTCAGTTAAAAAATTAATTTTTAAATGTGTCACAAATTGATTATTTGAAATTTGTAATTATAATTTATTATAAATTATTTTTAAATATATAAATTTTTATTATTTTGCGTGCGTGCGTGCGCGTGCGCATTTATGCATATATGTATATATATATATATATATATATATATGTGTGTGTGTGTGTGTGTGTGTGTGTGCGTGCAGCGGAAC